TCTGGTTAAAGAGCTTTGAAGCACCGATTTGGCCAGCTGCTCACTGTCCAGGGATGCAGTGTGACCCTCACCAGGGGGTTGTCTCAAGGGCTGAGATGAGTGGAAGTTGCTGAGTGTTGCACAGGATCTGCTTTGCTCTCCATCAGACAGAGGAACTGAAGTCTCACCTGTAGGCCCCGAGAAGCTTGTTGAGCATCTGTGAACAAGCAGCGGTAAAAGATTTTTTTGTTTTGTTTCAAATTTTATCTTATTATTAGAGTGGTTTCATGCTCAAAATTTCAGAAGATACCATCTCAGAAATGCACCAGTTAGTGCATTTGCACTAATTAGTGCCCTCAGGGAGCCATTTGCATGCAGGAAGGAACAGAGGACAACAGGGATTTCCTGATCTGTCAAAGTCCAGTCACTTGGGATTGTGGGAAACCACATCACATAAATTGACTATGCTCAGCATATTGCTAATCAATTCTGCCTGTCCCCCCTCAATATTATGGTTAACGCATACCTCCAAGCACAGAGGAGATCCTTGATCTCACCTAACAGCCTGATTTTGCCCTGTGTCTGGTGGAGAAGGAAGACGATGTAGTCATTTAAGCCTTTTCATGTTACGTGCCTGTTTTTCAGCCTTTATTATTGCAACCCTTTTCTCCTTTGCCTCGCCAAACTCTCCACAAGTGAACTAACTTTTAGGATATATCTTTTGTTCTGACCTGTCTTGAACTTCAGCCTGGATTTGCCATACCACACTCCTGTCTGCACTTAGCATTTTGAGAAGCATTTATTGCGTTAAGGAGATTTTTAAGAATTTTTTTTTTTTTAGTGAATACAAGATATTGCATCAGTCTGGTTTGAAGCTATTTTATGTGTTGCTTCTCTCCAGCTGGCTGAATGCCCTTTCCCTTCCCCCTCCTCTTCTACGTGGCAGCGCACGGAAAGATGATTGATGGAGCGTCACCAGCGCGTTGTCAAAGGCTGGAGTAGATTAATGGGCAAGAAACACCAGCCTGTTCCCCTTCATGTGTGATTGTTTGAAGGAGGGCTCATATTTTAACAGAAATGATATCCTGCTTCTCTGGATTCCCCCAATCAGGAATTGAAGGATGGGATTCGTATCTGAGATTGAAAGGTGCCAGCCACAAAGAGCCAGTTTATTACTTGGGACAACTGCCTGCCTTCCACTTGACCAACAGCACCTGCCCTGAGGCCTGTTTCAGTCAGGCGGCCGTCCTCTTTACCAGTGTGGATTTGTGCCACCAGTTAACGTTTCTACCTCTGTTTTTTTGTATTTGCAGACACAACTAGTTACAGCACAGACCAAATGGCCAGAAGATCTCTGATCTGTTACTAGCTTTGCCACCTTGGTGACACCAGCCAATTTGCCTGTGCTGCAGGGAGTGACCACGTATGACCCAGAGCAGCTCAGATCCTTTGAAAAGTCTTTTTTGGCGGTTGGCCTTGGTCACAAATTCAGCCTTGATCTGTGCCTCAATTCCCCAGCTGCAAAACAGGGATAGCAATATGGTAATTTCCAAACACTGGACTTGCCGTGAATTGTTTCCTACCAGAAATGCTAGGAATGCAATTTATAAGAGAAATTAATCAGAGACTGGTCTGAATCCTGGCTGGGGGAAAATAATCAGACCCAGAGTATGATTGGTTTCTGCATTTTCTTGAAGGTAGACATTGCCAGCATTTCATAATCAGCTGTTCTAGTCCAAACAGATACTTCAGTATTGTAATTTGTAGTCCCCGGTAGTGGCTTCCATTAAAAGGTTTGAATGTGGCAAGAATTATGTCTTTCACACCAGCCTATCTGTGTCTACCAGAAGCACACACCTGACTGTCATAAACCCCTATTCCAAGGGCTAGATGGAGCCCATTTTTCTGATTATCCAGGGAACAGCTGTTCTTCCAAGTTTATTCTCTTTTCAGTGGTTCTGGTCTCAAGCCTGTGTCCAACCAGCTAAGAGGTGCATTTAAAAGCCTCTTAAAGCAGGTGCATTTTCTTTTCGTATGTAGCTAGAAATCAGAGCTACTCCTCATTTTCTTGTAATATTGTAACAAGCAGAATAATGAATCTGTACTTCTTACCTGGCTGGTAAGAAGTAATTACCTGTGGTTTGCTGATCCAGTCCAGCTCTCTGTCTGCTTTTCTCTCGTCATGACAAAGGTCTGTGCTTCATGCAGATGTAGACATCTTCTTTGATAAAGATTTATGACAGGTGATGTTTAGTTAAAAGAGATTGCTGAACATAACTATTCCTGCCTTTTATGTTCTCAGAGTTCATCTCTGGAGTATATTCAGAGGTTTGGGGGTTTTTTTGAGGAAGACATAAATGTGAGTTTGTTTCTGCTCTGGATGCAATCTCTAGGGAGACACATCCCGTGGTTTTACATTTACAAAACTTTGCCTTGTTTTAGGGAGTATGATATACCCCCTGAAATTTGAATTTCATTGAGAGAACTGATACTCTCTTTGTTTACCTGGCATTTCAGTCGTTTCCTTTTTGGTTTTGTGACAGTTTGGTTTTGGGTCACAATTGTCGTGGCCAATACACAGCGAATTGCCCTTTTGTTCTCTGCAGCCAATTCCTCGAGTCCAGAAGACAGTGTTTGCCTTTGTAAGGCAGGTTACATTTAAGTTTCCTATTTGTTGCCCCAGTGAATTCTTCCTAGACGGGATACTGGGAGGAAAGAGAGGGGAAAAAAGAAACTTCCTAATACATGCCCATGCTTGATATTGGCAGAACTTGTACAGTTTGCAGGCTGTGCACGTTTTGCAGCCAGGCCAGGGTCTCTTTCAGTCATGACGTGTGGGCCACGAACAGCCTCATCTTCTATGCTGGCTAAAGCCTACATGGCTGGGAGAGCTTCTTGCTCTTCGGCAATTTGTATTAATTTGTTCTCCAAGAAAACGAGGCTTCAGGGAGGACTTTTACTAAGCACCTTACAGATGTTACTGTGCACTGACTCAACATACAGTTTATGTGCCTCCCCTTTCCCTTCTTTCACTGGGACAGCAGTGGGTTGGATATTTGGAGCCTGCTTTTCTTGAAAAAAAGACCAAGAAAAAAAGATTGTGTAACCATTAATGATTTGTTATTCTGTCTGGGAACCACTGTGCTGCAGGACTTTGCTCTAATGGTGCTTTCACAAGAAAGAACTAATTTGACTAACTTTATTAATTCCAGTTTGTTTTAAGTTTGCTCATTAGTAATTTAACGCAAGATGCTTCAGCTGAAGAGGCCATGTCAGGACAAGGAAGAGCAGAGGGAAAGTGCCAGGAATCGTTAGTGTTTATTAACCACTGCACTCATCAATCTTGACTAAGAGCACAGCCCATTCGTTCTGGACTGGTGGACTGAGATACAGAAATATCAGTAACAGTGGAAAATGCTTCTTTTCAGGTCAGTCCGTAATGGACAGGCATTCAGACAACACCCACACCCCCATCACCAAATATTATCGGCCTTTAAGGTGCTCTCCTCACAGTCCAGCCTGAACTGACAGAGCTCAGCAGCCTTGTGGAAGGAAGAAGACCTGCCCCTAGCCAACCGTAGTATCAATTAACGAATACCGTATTTTCATCCCCAGTAAACGATACTGAAAGGTTAAGTGTTGTTATGAAGGGGTTTTTTAATTGCTTTTCAAATTATTAAATGATTAATACTTATGTGCTTTGCTGGATCAGGCCTGGCACTTTGTGCTGGCAACGAGTACATCTTACAGGAATTCTTGAAACATTAAAATGGAAAGGTTTCTTTTTTTCTGTTTAGACAAAGAGTTTAATAACCAATTATTATTAAGCAACTGCAAAGCGTTGAGCTGGTGACTCAAAGCTCTGACCTGTGAATCAGGGCTGAATGAATGCCTCCAAAAGGTTGGAGGAGGGAATAGTACTACATTTGCCAGGTTTCTAATGAGAAATACGACCCCTGCCCAGACCACTTGTGGTCATTAAGGATTGCATTTCACTTTGAGATGTGTTTTCTTGCATCCTATCCAAATTGCAACTTGAGTAGTTACAATCTGCTCACTAAAATATCCCTGCAGTTTAATTGGAGAAGTTATGTTTCCCTTCCCCTCTTAAAAGCTTTGTTGTATAATGTTGTGGTGCTATCATAATATGTGCTGTATAATCTATAGAGCACACAAAGGCACAAAAAACCCCACCGTGAAAGTCTCTGAAGTTGCTAGCTTTCTACAGTGATAAATAGAATTAGGGGGAAAGTGGCATCTTGGGAACCCAGTTCAGCATTATGCCCCCATTTGAGTCTCTTGCCACCCTTGAAAAGCATGTGACAAGCACTGTCACACTGCAGAAGCAGCATTTTCACATTTACTTTGCACATGTGTAAATCACTGCACAAGGCAAAGCATCAAGTGTCTGGTCCTAGACATAAGGTCTTTTGCAATGAGCATGTTAGGTTTAGTATTATGATGGCACAGGCTGGAAACAAGCAATAATTTTAAAACATGGCATGGATGTTCAGACAGATTGTGTGTGTCATGACTTTTTGTGGGTAAGATTTAGGTATTTTATGGGGAAAGCGTTTTATTGGATGACATTCAGTGATAGAGGGGATGGAAAGAGATTGCAGTTTAATTAAAATTCTAATCCCAAGTTTGACAATTTTTCTTGCCAGGTCAGCAGCCTGCAGTTCTGTTTGTGATTCCTGTGAATTAAATGGGCTGACAGTCATCAGCTTCTTCAGAAATGCCTGTAAATCCAGCTAAAAATTAGCAAACATCAATATGTTTCGGAGCAGCTTTAAGTAGGGATATGTCACGGAGCAGTTTTCCATCAACATACAGGAGCCTTTCATAAGCACCAATTTAGTCCACTGCTGCCAGTGCTCAAATACAAATGAAAAATCCCTTCTTCTGCCGTAGGAAGTCACGTTTACTGTCCTGTGCTTCTGAAATCTCACTGGCGTGTTCCTGTTTCCCAGGTAGTTAAACAGTGTTGCCACAAAGGTAGTACTCGTCTTTCACCAGCCATGAGGCTTCCTCTGCTTTGTGCCTCCGTGATGCTAATGAGTCTGTCCCAGTGCCGAGCTGTCAGCTTCCCTGAAGATGAGGACCCTATTAACATTGTTGACTACCACTGTAAGTAATCTGCAAATGGTGCTAACCACTAGGGAAAAAGTTCTAAGGTGTTTTTTTTTCCCTTGGGATGTTAAAAAAAAAAAAAGTCTGTTTTCTTTCAAATTGAAATGTGTTTACTGGCTTTGTATCTTTAATAGAACACTTAATCATTTTCTTAAAAAAGCAATCAGAAATACAGCAATAACTTCAGGAAAAAGAACATTTGCTGACATTAGCCATCTTTTTCTCATTTATATTCAAGACATTACTCAAGGAATTTAGTTTAAACCCTTCTACACCTAGTATATACAGCTAATCAATGCCATATATTGATTCTTTAGCTCTATAATCCTGAGTGATGGTGTAGCCCATTTTTACTTGCAGATTCAAGGCAATATCCAGTATTTAGAGGACGCCCTTCAGGCAATGAATCTCAGCACAGACTGGACTTCCAACTGATGCTGAAAATTCGAGACACACTTTATATCGCTGGCAGGTAATTTTCTTTCACTCAGTTCATTAGATTAAAATTCTTTTCTTTTCTGGTTTTGCATTAATGTGTGAAATTCATTTAGAAAAATCTGCAGAATATGATAGAAATTAGAATTGGGGGAGGACTTCCCAGAGAAATATACCGTATCTATGGCCAGTGCATGAAAATTGGATTTGAAGGCTGCAGTTACTGTAGTTATGCTAAAACCAATGATCAAATACTCTTTTTCCTCTTTTATATTACTGCCCTGATAAAAACCTCTCCTGATCATTTTAAACTTAGACTGACACATCAGGGATGTGAGGATAACGCACTTGAATATTTACAGTCCAGATTAGTCTTCAACAGAATGGAAAGACAGAGATGGATAGCTGGACACTGTAGGTGCTATCTAAGGACCACACCAATTAAAATCAAAACCACCCATGTTGCCCATGACCAACTTTCTCTGATTTGTATTAAACACAGAAAATGCATAAGCATTCCATAGAAGTTTCTGGTCTAACAAAACACTCTAAAAACAGATTTAGCTTATCAAAAATAAGGCTAATGAATTAATGAATGTACTTGTGTCTTTTTACTCTTTGCAAACAGGGACCAAGTTTACACTGTAAACTTAAATGAAGTTCCAAAATCGGAAGTTACTCCAAGCAAGGTGAGTAGATACAGGTGCTGGCAAGGGAGAGGTATTTTCTTTGGTTTTAATTTTTCTAAGATTTTTTTGTGGAAAGGAAATCAAATGTTCTTTTCTGGTTTGATTTAACAGAAACTAACATGGAGGTCAAGGCAGCAGGACAGAGAGAACTGTGCTATGAAAGGCAAACATAAAGTAAGTTTAGCATGTACATTATAGAAAAACAACACTAATATTTATTATATGTGTGAAGTGTGTGATTAATACATCTTACTCTCTTTTCAGGATGAATGCCATAACTTCATTAAAGTCTTTGTTCCAAGAAATGATGAGATGGTGTTTGTCTGTGGAACAAATGCATTTAACCCTATGTGCAGATACTATCGAGTAAGAATATTGAAAATGTTATTAATCTGTTACTGGTTTTGCTTGCCCTAATCATGCTATAGCAAATACATCCAGATTGGAGAGTGCTTCAAGGTGAAATAAAAACAGACAGAAGCCAATGTGCTGAATTAAGTTTTCTGGAAAGACAGTGTTATGCTTTTGTGCCAGTGTACAAAATAGAAATGACACTATCACCCATTTATTTTTCTTCTCTAGCTGAATACCTTAGAGTATGATGGGGAGGAAATTAGTGGTTTGGCAAGATGCCCATTTGATGCCAGACAAACCAATGTCGCCCTCTTTGCTGGTAAGAACTTTTGCTTGTAATGAGTCTAAATGATTAATGACACCAAAGGAGCCAGAGAGCTTTTAAAGCAGGCCCAGGAAAGCTAAAGGTGTCATGGTGCCCCTGCTCTTAAATTTTTTAAAGGGCCTCCAAAGGATTAGAAGCTGATCTGTTAATAAATAGGTTACAGCATCTTGGGGAAGAGTGACAGTAAAGAAATGGGGAAAAATACAGGCTAGGCAGGATTCTGTAGATTATTAAAGGCCTCTTAATACCGCGTTTTCAACTTCCGTTTTAGATGGAAAATTGTATTCGGCAACAGTAGCAGATTTCCTGGCAAGTGATGCTGTTATTTATCGCAGCATGGGGGATGGATCTGCCCTAAGAACAATAAAGTATGATTCCAAATGGATAAAAGGTAATTTGGGGGAGTATTTTCCCATACACATGGCAAATGTAATTTCAGTGGCACAGAAGGTCAGGTAATTCACAGCCAACATGCTTTACACATGCTACAATGTCAGCATATATGCGGCTTTCAGTACAGTATGATTACAATAAGAAAGCAGTTTAATACAGGTAAAGCAAAATTTTTGTTAAATACATCAGTGAATGAATCTGCAGCAACAGAATACCTTAGCTGAAATGCAATTCCTCTGAGGCCTTTTTACAGTCCATTAGCCAACATTAAAGACTTCAACTTCATTTAAGCTCCAGTGCACCCATATTTGGACATCCTAAAGTATCTGGAAGATGGGAGCTCATGTTAGCTGGTATGGGCCTGTGGAGAAGCCGCCAAGTCACACAGCGTAGTCAGTGTCATGTGTCGATTGAGTAGTTCTTTGAAGTAACCTTCTTGCTCTTTCTTACAGAACCACACTTCCTCCATGCCATAGAATACGGGAACTACGTTTATTTCTTCTTCCGAGAAATTGCTGTAGAGCACAATAATTTAGGCAAGGTAGGTATTGTCTCAGCGAGCTGTCAGGTAGCCATGAGCCTTAGCAGAATGAGATCATCCTAAAACAGTACCAGTAACAAGCACAGTTTGCAATATGAGGTAGGGACTAGTACAAAGTTCGCATAGTTTTCCCATCATTATAATTTACCGGGGGCGGGGGGGGCGCAGGAGGCAGGGAAGAGAAACAGAACAGTGCATTCTTCAACCAAAAAATTGTTTCTGTTCTCTATGCCTTGCTGTTAGACGAGCTCGCTACAGGTATGTTTTAGTATTGCTGTTGCCTTAACACTTGTGGCAAGTAATGGGAAATCTGAGGGTTTTTTCATGCTTGTTAAAGAAACAAAAGAAAACGACACAAAAGAAGAGTTTCAAAGAAGTTTCTCTAATGTCCCTGGATATTGAATAATTCAGTCATGCCAGTACAGAGTACAGTCATGCCTCACCATGGAAGGACATTCTATAGTAAATTATTAAATCCTTTACACGTGGTTAATTGAAGTCTTTAAATCTCACTAACAATATGACTTTGAAGGGAGAAAAGGGTGGGGACAAGCTGCAGAGTTGTATTTGCTTGGTGATACTTTAAGATGCCTGTGCACCATGAGCTAAATACCGTTTGCATTCATCCCTTCTGTGCAGATAAATGGCAGCTTCCTGTTAACAAAATTATCTTTGGTGTTTTATTAACAGCTCAGAAACAAGCACTGCTTTCCTTGCATCTCTCAAGCCTTTCTCCCTTTTCCTTTTTTTTTTTGCCCTTCACAGGCTGTGTATTCCCGTGTGGCACGCATATGCAAAAATGATATGGGGGGGTCCCAAAGAGTCCTGGAAAAACATTGGACATCCTTTCTGAAAGCTCGGCTCAACTGCTCAGTTCCCGGGGATTCATTCTTCTACTTTGATGTTCTGCAGTCTATCACAGACATAATAGAAATCAATGGAGTCCCCACGGTTGTCGGTGTATTCACCACACAGCTTAATAGGTGAGAGATGAGCACACTTACATCAAAGATAGTTCTCTGGTTCTGTCTTACACTGAGGTTGGTGCCATTGCAGTCTGAGTTCTTGCAACTGTTTTTTTTTAATTTTACAGCAT